TAATGAGTTGATGATATCTTGGTATCAATTTGTTCCTTTTACCCTTATACACATGCATCATAAGTTTTTTTCCCTAAAATGGGTCAATAGAGGATACAGGAGCCCGAAATCCCTGGAGCTTAAAGAAGGTCACTAAGTCTACTAGTACCTCAACTTCTACACAGTCTCCTCCCTTCAAAGTATTTGGGGAACCAAAAACAAGAGTGGAAGAGGAATATTTACTTGAAGTTGCCATTTCTGAAAGCTTAGATGATAAAAATAAATAGTTTCTTCAGTTATATTATTATACGGTATTGACGTTGGATTGTGATGCTCGATAAACTTTGTTTGACTAGCCATTTGAAAACTACACCGGCGAGATCATTATCTTTTGTCCAACATTAAATAGGCTCTTATGAGAAAGCCATATGCCAATGTTGATACAATTAGTATTTCATTCTAGAAAAAAAACCCTACTTATTTCATAATGTATTACAAATATTTTGAGTATTGCCTTTACCTTTCAGATATTTTTTCTTTCATAAAAATGTTTGTATTTGATGTATTAAGTCATTGACTTTGTAGCTATAAAGCATACTGCCATATGTTGAGTTTCATAAACCTTTTGAAATAATTATTTTAGCATCTTTCACGGGCTTAAGAAAGCCTCTCTTTATTAAAGAAGTTGTAAGATTTTCATTGTTAAGCGGGTTGAGTTTTTCGTATCATATTCACTGCAACATTTTTGATCACTATGTTATTGTTATGTATTTGTGAATTTGAACGAGTTACTACAAAATTCAGTAGCTGAACTTGCCAACTGAGTTTATCTTAGAGATTAATATATCCTGTATGTCTGAAAAAACCTGTCATGTCTTGTGGTGTTATTTCCTTCAGTGATTCGTAAACTGCTACATGCAAATTGCCGCGCAAGAGCTCACGAAATTCAAATCTACGAAGAATAGTTTTAAGCTTATTGAAAACGTTTTCTGTCGCATTAAATTCAGAAGAGTAAGAAGGCAAATACACCAAGGTGCACCTGCAATCATCAAGCCACTCTCCAAGAGCTTGCCTGGCTCGATAATGATGTATGGGGGCATTATCTAAGACAACGTTATCGCCATAGGTAAATGCAGGTGCGCCACTTGGAAGAATGATCTGACTATCCTCAAAAAAATTGAGAAATGTCAATGAATTACTAGCGCCATCGATCGTGTTAGCGTATATGATTCCATCTAAACAACACATCAAGTTCAAAGTAATATTGGGTGAGTTCATGTAACGGGCAATCTCTACTGCTGGACTTCCAATATGCGAGTGGCCATAGTTTGGTTTACCAACGTCTGGTAATTTAATGCCTGACTCATCGAAAAATGTCAAATTACGGGGGTTTATTGTTTGAATGTAGTTCAGATATTGTTGACAGTAGTTTAAGTTTGGAGAAGTAAACTTTTCTGCATGAGGACGAGTTAATTTTTTAAGACCAGTCTCCGTCGTTCATATCGTTTCTTATTGATCTTTGTAATGTATCGATGACTTGGATGTCCCGCCAACAACATTACAAAATTGATTTACAGTTTTTAACACTTTGCCTGTGGCCATGGAAGATCTTTCAATCTTTAAGAACTGTATAAACTCAATATCGTCCTGTTGAAGGTGTTTTACTCCACTCGATCGATGCTTGGTTTTGAATTCACAGTTCTCGCAAAACTGTTTCCACATTTTCCGTATTGTATCAGTCTTAACTCTGTGTTTCTCCCCTATGGCCTTAAAACTTCCGGGGAAAAACCCGGTAATGAAATCGCCACCGTCTTCGATAATACCCTGCACAATATTTCTGGTCAATTCAATCTGAAGAGATTTTCCTCTCTCATATACTCTTCCCGCTTGACTAAAAAGTGCCATCGCTGATACGTATTGCTTTGTGTTTGTGGGGGGAGTCACAGATGTTTGTGTGACGCAACATGGTATGTATTTTTCAGACGAAACCACACTTCGGTGGTTTTCGTAGTATGTGCTAGCACAAAGGAAGCCTGCGAAGAAAAAAAGCGAGAAAAGTGGATTCAATAATAATTTTTCCACGATGAAGAATTATTTTACGTTTATTTGAATTTTTTTCCCTGCAGCACGAACTATGCAGAACTAATTATTGATTTTCATGCTAATGACATTTTTTTAACAGCTGTTTCAGCACCAGACTAATCTGACTCGATGACAAAACATTAAGGAAAATGCACAGTAATCAGGTTAAATGGGATGAAGTTGTAATCTGCCCAACTTAAGTTGTACTGTCTGAGGTTGACAGAAAGGCTGAGGGGAAATGTTTTCGAAACTTATTTGAGTATTCAAACTGACTTCCAAATACTACGAAGAAAATTAACTGAAAGTTTCTAAAGGTTTGTGTATTCCACAATTAACACAACTACAAACTATAACTAACTATTCCATAGCAACTTCTTATTCTATCAAATAAGGCTCTTAACCCTTTCGTGTTCCTATTTTTTCGGGTATTTTTGACCCTCTTGCTAATAAAAATAAATACAGCTCCATTGGGCTATGCCATTTAATATGCGCACCCCCCCTATCGAGGATCATAAAATCCTCAGGGGTAATTAGCGTAA